CTAAAAACACCTTGCGGATCACACAGTAATTATCAAACCACACTTCCGAAAAGAACATGCCTACAGAAACACTACGCGTCACTACACCCTAAAACGAATCATAGAAACTGCAACCCAGAAACCCCCTAATGGCAGCAGTGTGCAAGTTTTGAACTCCTAGACGCTAACGTGACGATTGCGCAGCAGCCCTGGAAACTGAAAGAGCACTTACACTTTACGAAGCAAAGCTCCATCACACACACATACACACACCGCCATGTGAAACTCAAACAAAGTACACTCAAACAAAGTACAAATAAACCTTAAACCCCACAACGAGCTACGGGCCGAAGCCTCAAACCCTAAAATGGCTAATGGTCCGTAGCCGTAGACCTTGCAGCCAGCAATCGAACCCGCCCTTGAACTTGTTGGACCGTAAACCATAAATTTTCAAGTTTCGGGGAACCTTGCACAGTAAAGTGTGAAAGTACGCATGAAATCGAACCATGCTCACGGAAGACCCAAACCCACGTAGGAACCTGCGGAACCATCTGTAGATCGAACCACATGACCAAAAAAATGCTTACACAAACACTGCACCCCAGAACGAATCATTGAAATAACAAACCTGGACCCTTGGCCGTTTTCAACTCAACCTATCTAAGATACAGTCGCCAAGCAACAGAGGACGGCAAACAACAAAACAGACGCTTGCAAAGCAGTCGTGTAAACGCTGGACCTGGCCGCAGCAAACCTTGCACTCTATAACCACAAAAGCGACTGCTGCGCAGCATAACTGATAGGTGCAAGTCAACTATTGTAAACACACACGGCCCAGACACAAACCCAAACAAAAAACGACCGATAAGCGACATACCTTGAAACGACCGACGAGCAGCAACTTTAAGCCCTGTCGTGGTCGGTGAACCGTGGACCTTGCAAGCAGCAACGGACAGCGAATGGTCTAGCCGCGCCAACTCGGCTTCTCAGACCCTGAACGTTTGAACGACGCCGGAAGCGAGCCTACTCCTGCAACGCATGTTGGAGCATGAACATTAAGCCAAAAAGCATAAAACACAGTCAACAGGGCATGATGCCCATGCCGCCGATCCCAAACCCGCAACGGCGACGATGCATACTACACCGACAATCGACTTGAGGAACAGCAAGCCTGAAACCCTGTAGCCAATCGCGCACAGCGCACATCGTGACGCTGCAGCGCTTGGTGTTTGCGAAAAACTTGCGTATCTGCCATGTCTAGCGACCCAGACTCAATGCTGAAGAAAGTGGTGCAGTTTGGCAGTGGATGATTGAGCAAACATTGAAGGCGCGAGAACTCCTGCTGGCACCATCAAAACCAAAAATCTAAAATAAATGAAGAACAGCAAACCTCAGACCCATGCTAAAGCGGCCGATAAAGTGCAAGCCTCAATTTGACCAGACTGACCACAACGACCTCAAAAGCAACAATGAACCGTCGACGCTTATTGAACGACTGATGGGTAAGCAAAACTCGTGAAGCAGTTCGAACCGCACGGCTGATGAACCATGAACTGCAATCAATCGCTCAAAGGGAATGAAACCCGCGACCCTCCAAGAACTGATGGCACGGTCGGCTAACTGGCTGGTGACCGGTGAACCAAAAGCCCACAGAGCAAATCCTGGCGAACTTGTATCCCTCACTCAGAAACCTCATTGCCAGATGTCAACCCCAAACGGTTGGGAGCAAACCTGGTGAACCCGGAGGCTTGTAAAAGAATGTGGCATTGTCGCATGAATGCCCCATGAACAGTACGGCCTCTGATGATTGCGTCTTGCCCTTCGGATCTGTCGAGCAAGCTCTCCGCCTTTTGGGTTTCAGCTTGTGTACCGATGGCACCGGTTTACACCAGTGCCTTCGCAGAAGTCCATGATGATGCACAACACGCCAGCCTTTTCAGAAACGCTAGCCGCTTGTGTCACCCCCGACGTCCAGATGTAGCAGCCCCAACACCGCGCCTCACAAAAGCTGTCGCGGTAACGGACAACGAAAGGATGCCGCAAGGATCCCAGGAGTCGACCCTCCTGAGCGAACGCTAGGAGCCTGCACAGATCCCAGGCGCCCAACGGTCAGGCCTGGCCTTGGCAGCAGCTTCGGCCTCACGAGGCTCTGCTTGGGACCAAAAGCGCTCTGAGCGTCGCTCACCTAACAAAAGCACGCACCTCCTTCTTGGATGCCTGAGTGATGTCCATCACCTGCTGCGATTTCGACACTCTCTTGCAACAGCACTGGTGGCGAAACACCGCGCCTTGCATACCGCCTGTGTCCCATCCGATGCCTCAACCAAAAGAGCCTTGGCAAAGGAGCCTTCACCTGCCGTATTCGATTCTCTCGCCTCTCAGAACTTCTCTGCACTTCGCGTAATGCCTGGCCTATCTGCCTCACTTCCCTCCATCCACGCGCAGCCAGGACGCTCTCAACATCCTCACACAATGGTGTAAGACAGCCTCCTGCTGAACACACCGTAGCCACTCCTCACGCGCGTATACCATCTGGACGAGATTCGGCCCCTTCCCGGAACCGAAATCTCATCTGAAGCCGAATGTCAGCGGACAGCATTATTCACAGGCTCGGAATAGCATGGTGGATCCACGATGTATGCTTGCAATTGCTTGCACTCGTTGGTAAACTTTTTAAAGCAGGAACCGCTTCTTGGTTATTGGTCTGCAATGGTCTGCAACTACTCGAAGCAGACCTTCGCGTCTGAGAGCTCCGTCGGAGACATCAGAACGTTATGGGCGCACCTCTAAGTGCTGTTGGTGAGCCATGATTTTTCCGATGAAGGCAAGAAATATTCGGGCAAACACACCTCTCAACTCATCGTGCCACTCTGTCAATGTCGGCATGGCAGAACCTGTACGTCAATGGAGGTCACGACGACGACAAGCGCCAGATGTCATCCTTCTGGATGCTGCTCTGTGCATGGTGGCAGCGCTTCCTCCAGCTTCTGTTCGTCGCGAGGTTTCAGGACTCGCGTCCACTTTCGTCGGACTCGTGACTTCGCGCACCATCACAACTCAGCCCGCTCGGATTTCTGAGCGCTCCTGGCCCGCTTTGTGAGCTCGTCAAGCACTGCCTCAAGGCAAAACATGACAAAGGCGGCCATCGATGGTCCATAAGCTGGGCATCAAAAGAGGAAAACTGAGGCTCTGACGGTACCCAAGCGGTGCAAGTCGGAGGTTTTCAATTGTGGCAGAAGAGGCAACACCTGATTGCAAAAGAACGATGGCCCCTCGGTTTTACCACGCAAGGATGGACAGCTGCTCGTCTTGAACACATAGCGTATACAAGTTGCAGGGGACATTGTAGAAACCACATCAAAGTACAAACGACTTCACCCGCACAGAACCCTGCGAAATGTCACAGGAAGTCGATGCCTGGCCAAGCTCCAACTTCGCTTCGGCTCCTCGGCCTTCGAAGCAGAGAAGTGGAGCGACTCACGTCTCGAAGAGATGATGGTTAGTGGCTTGGCCTTCCCTCTTTGAAGCCACAGTCTTAGTCTTCTCCTTGCAAGAGACTGTGGCATCTGCTGTGTTATCTCTTCTTCACACGAAGCCTTCGGAGAATCGAGCTTCGGAGCTGGCAGAGGCTTCTGCCTAGTCTCTGAAGGAGGCATAAGCGCCATGCGAGACAGACATGCGACTGGGATGCCCTCTGGTGCCTCGGGGCAGGCCGAGGCTTGCGAGGGTTTCTTGACTGTGCCTCGTGGCTGAAAACTGCAAGACAAGACCAAGGCTTCATTTAGCAGCTCTAGCTCTCACCTTCGAGGTCCTTTCCCCCCAAAGATGTGTTTTTTCAGAATTAGGAAAGCTGTAGAGCACAAATGCACGGCCTGGGGGAACGTTTTTACTGAGACCGGCCAATATCGTTCACTGACTGCGGCATCCGCACTAAGGTGCCGACGCCAGTGCCACTGGCTGAAGACAAGCACTCTTCCAAGCACAGCTGTGTGTGATTCAGCTGCCTTGATTCGCACACGAGCAACGACTGGATAAGAAGAAGCACCGGTACCACAACACCCGGGACCCGACCGGTGGTCCCAATAGAGCTGCTGCAACTTCTCCTAAAAGTCAACACACACGTAGAATGAACATGTTCACGAAAAACAACATTCTCGATGTCATGGACGGACTGGCAAGGACGCTCGATCGCAGCCAGTGTGCAATTCGAAAGCATCTACATGACTTGGTTGGCTTGTCGACCAGCAGCGTAAGGTCCTCTCCCAACTCTTCGACGAACATCTTGCAGAATGCTGCCAGCCTTTTGTCATAGTCCTGGCCAGCCACATCCCGTCCGTTCATCTGGAGTGACCAGGACTGTAGGCGTAGACTGCATAAGGAACAGCAAAGGCAAAAACGTCAGCGACACCCCCATGCCCATCTGGCCGAATCCAAGTCCGGGAATGTGGTCTTTGATACCCGGTCCGAAGAGGTACTTCTTGCCCTTTCACAGCAGCCGTCTCGATTTGCGGATTGCAAAAAGCAACAAGCACAAGGACAAATGCCGCCTCATGCTGCTTCACGCCGAACCTCAGTGCATGCGATTGGCAAGCAATGCTGGAAGCAACCATTGCGACAGTCTTCGTGCGTGCAAGGGCGCTCGTTTTTTGTGAACATAGTGTCACAGACCTTGTGCAGACCGATGGTTAAGCCATCTCTCAACCAGTCTGTCGCGCGCCTCATCGATTATTTCCTTGGCTCGTGATACATCACTACCGCGAAAGGACGCAAATCCTAGGACTGAGGAGTTCGAACTTCACTCGCGCTAGGAAAGCCAAGCCTCCAGAAACTCATAGGAAGGCACGGATGCTCTTCCCGCAAAGCGTTGAACAAGTGTCCTGTGAGAGCCCCACTGTGACATCGCAACATAGCTACCATCCACGCGGACGCAAGAGGACGTCCTGTTTATCTTGAAGAAAGATGCCTTGGCAGCGAGACGTGGCCCCAGTGGGCTGAAGATGTAAGTGGCTATTGCAAGGCAGGCTGCCGAGCAAGCATCGCACCTGAACCACTCGAAGTCGTCATCTTGGGCCTGGAAGAAATGCCAGGCACTGGCCCACCGCTAACTTGGCAACTCTTTCCGATTTGAAAGCAGGAAACTGCCTGGACGCGAAGAGCACAGAAACAAAGAAACCATGCACGGATTGCACCTGCAGCTGAAAGAGAGTGTGGCTTTTGCACACTTCTCGATGTTTACATCCGGAGATATCCCAAGTCCGTCACGAGCCATCTTGCCAATCACGCTGCATCGTGCAGCAGGACCGCTAATCCGTCACACCCTTGAGGTGCTGAAACGCTTTCCGGAACTTGTCCCTGTGCTGAGGCCGTGTGCCAGGGTGCCAGGCCATGCCGGCTCTGAAGGACGGAACTTGAAGCCGACTTTCTTTCGAGACGGGTCGGGTCTGCTCTGAGTGGTTTGACCACAGAGCGAAAAATTAAAGAGCAGCAGGCAGCAGGCTCTCAAAATCTCGAGGCATTCTTTGTCCTGCATTGCTGATTGTGATACGACACAACGTGTGCAGTTGTCTAAGCTGCAAGCAGTCACAAACAGACCACTCAGCCCTTGCTGTTCCATTTGGTCAGATCTGACATCACGTCAGGAACGCACGGCGGCCGCTCTTGCGAGTTTGTCCTGGAGGGGATCTAACGCACCAAATCCAAGTTCGTGGCAAACGTCATGCCTGACCACTGCTCATGGATCATGCAGCATACACGACTCCTTGCCAAGCCGAGCTCGTTTGGAAAGCGTCTTCTTCCTGCGATTGGAGGCTTCCACTGAACTGACCGCCTTTGCTGTCGAAGCAGCCTCGGCAAAACCGCAGTGTCCACAGTTGCACATCCTTTGCACATCCACAAGGGGGGCACAAATAAACTGCTCACAATACGAAGTGTCACAAGATCCACACTCTTCTGACGGAAGGCCAGATAAGGGCGGTAGCTCCAGTGCGTGAACGAAGGCCACCGTCCATCACAAGTAGAGGCACTGAACCAGCTCCTGCAACGTGCAGATAATGCCACACTTGAGCGTCTCGTGGCCACAAGTCACAGGTAGACACGCTTGGCGTTGCTGTTGTACTGCTGCCAGGGCTTGTCCTACACAGAACGTCCCGGAACAGTCCTGGACGAACAGGAAGTCATTGAACTGGTTGACACCTGGATATCTCTCGGACATTGTGCTGTCATAAACCTGTCGCAGCAGTTGAGTAACGAAATGAACTAAGATTAGAAAAGCATCATTCATCTTGTCGACACTGGGGAATTCAACTCCAGTGGTGCTTCGAAACTGCTTGTCCTCGCGCAGAACGTCCTCGTGTGCAGGCATAACGCTGTCCTCTCCGAGTCACTCGATGACTCACATAGGTGTTCCACCAAGGTTCTGCAGCGAAGCTGAACGCCGCTACATCGCGCTGGCAGGCTTCGAGAACGATGTCCTTCGACAACACACGAGGGAGTGTCATGCATGTCATGCCAGTCCGCTGCTTCAATCATTTCAAGTCCTTGTCGCGTTGCAAACGAGGCGACGCAAAATGTAGTGCCAATGCATTTTGCCGAATGGCTGCATAAACAACATCCGGGTCACCCTGCAGCTCCTGGTCAAATATCGCTAACTTACAGCGTGATCGAAACAAACTGATGAACGGCCCGCTTGCTGCGGAAGCCGACTGGTCAAGAAGATGACCCCACTGTCTCGGATGATCTGTCCTTGTCGACATACTTGAGGGCATGCCCTGCACTTGTAACTGCTGCCAGTGCCACTCCTTTGTCCTTTTTGAAGCGTTCCTTATCACAGCGCCGCGGCTGGAGGCGGTTGCGGTTGCATTATGCTTTAAAGGAGGTTGGCTCACTGCCGGCTGGCTCGACAAGATGCCGGTGCCCATTGAAGCGCAATGCCATTGGCAGAAACGGCTGCAAGGTTCACCTGGCGCCAGACAGCAAGGCCAGCGGCTGCTTCGTTTCCGCAGCGTGGTGGATTAAAGACCGGCTTGCTACCACGGAGAGCATTCCAACACTAGCTTTACGATGGGTAGACAGCCGAATTGACGTAGGCACATGCGTCACCTGCACACTGCTGAGAATGCCCATCCATTGCAAGTCCTGCCTCACGGTTCTGGCGATCCAAGTCGTCCAAGCCGGCAAGTGCCGAGCTTCGCGCGGACACTCGCGCGACCAAACATGCTTGTCGGACAGACCTGTCCTGCCAACTTTGCGATGGTCACACACTGTTCCCACCATCAAAAGCATTGCAAACAAGTTGTGAACTGATGTGGATCCATATGCAACTCCCTGGTTCCTCCATTCCAATAGGAATCGGTGGAAGAATGCTGCGCATTATGAACATCAAACTTCTCTTACCATATGCTTCGCACGATACAATCATGTTGCGAGTGCACAATCGCTTCTTGCATACTCGTAAAATCATCAGCTCTGATTTGGCCTGCACGCTGTTAAGGTAGTGAATGTCACGGCATTGAAACGCACCACGTCCTGACCACGTCTACTCTCGCAGCGACCATGCGGAATTCGAGCCGACATTCCAGAAAGCCCTCCAACTACAATTTTTATTGCGGTTCGCAAGATGCACGGCAGCAGACATAGCCGTTTAACAGCGTTGCAGTCGCAAAAATGTATTTGCAACATGCACAGAAAGTTCCATCTCTCTGTTTCGAGCGCGACAAGCGAGTACAAGTCTGACCCATGCTTGGCAAACAAGCTTTTTTCTACTGTTGCCACGATGCGCTAGCTGCCTCCATTGGAATCTATTTTGAGAGATGGGCAGTGTGCTTACCAAACCAATGAGAATGGAGCTTAGAGATATCCTGTCGAGTCAGCAGGCAGTTGAAATTCTGTGCGTTTTCATAAATTCCGGTGGCACTCGGCTGTGAAGCAAGAGGTTTCTGACATGACGAGCTCCGCCCAATGCAGTCGGGGCGCGCCAACTGTAGATTATCAGTCGTGTGCTGTGTTTCCACAGAAGCGGCGTTGAGTCCCCCGTTTTTTTCGGAAAACTGCCTTCTTTCTCAGCCGCAAATTGAATAAAAATCTTTTCCAAACACCGAAAAAGAAGGAAAGCCATACAAAACGCTTCAGTTCTCTAGACAGTTCATGTACTCTAGTCAACTGCAGACCTAAGCATGCCAAAGAAGCAAACGCTCTGTTTTACCACGGGTGCTGCTCAGAGTAGGGAGTCGGACGCGGGCGGGCGACTCAGACCCCCCGTCTTTGTGAGACTAGGATGCGTAAAGTGAGACGTGTAGCAGGCGGTAGGCAGCAAGGCGTGCTGACTGTTAGCGAGTGTTCAGGCGGAATTGTAGGCTTGCATCACACGGGCGGGTGGGTGCGGTGTGTGAAAAAGCTGCGCATGCGGATCTGCAGCCGATAGAGCTACATGAACAAACGTTGACAATGCGTGCAAGCAACATGCTAGAAAACACCACGACAACATAAAAAGAAAAGGGTTGCGTGGAGCGTTCTCTAGACAGTTCATGTACTCTAGTCAACTGCAGACCTAAGCATGCCAAAGAAGCAAACGCTCTGTTTTATCACGGGTGCTGCTCAGAGTAGGGAGTCGGACGCGGGCGGGCGACTCAGACCCCCACTTCAGACCTGAGCAGTGCCCGTAGGCTGCAAAGCTAGAGAAACCCCCACCGTCGCGGGCACTGCGAGCAGCAAGCTGAGGCAGGTGCGCAGACAGTGCGTGGGGTCGCCTGGCGTGGCAGCAAAAGGGGCAGGCGGCCCAAAAAGGCGGCAGGCAGGCGGCAGAGGCTGAGGCAGCGGCGCCGAGAAGGCGAGCGGGCAGCTAAGGCTGGGGCTGAGGCAGGCGGCTCCTGAAGACCTTAGTGGCGGTCGCGCGCGGCGCGAGGCGCGTGAGGCGAGCAGGCAGTGAAGTGCTGTAGCTCGGCTCGCTGCAGTCGTCAGGCCTGGGCGAGAACAAAAGAGAGCTGGCTAAGAAAGACTGGCTGTGCGTGCGTGTAGGCTAGCTGGCAGAGGCTGTCTTTTGGCTGGTTGCGGGCGGAGGCTGCAAGTTGTCTGAAGCCACTGCGTGTTGCAGAGCTGGCGGCCACGGGTAGTCCGCGGGATGCAGGCGCAGGCCTGTGGCCGGAAGTGCAAGCTGTGCGAGCGAAACATGCATGCGTTCGCTGGCTCTGTGCTGAAAGCGGGCGAGGTTGTCACGGCTGAGCTCGTCCGCCCAGGTGTTTTTCTCGCCAGGCAGGTGCGTGAGAAGTAGGTGCACGCCGCGGGCGTGCGCCCATTGTGCCGCAAGCTTGAGGAAGTGAGCGATGGGCTCGGCTGTGCTAAAGAGCTTGTTGAGGCCGGCTTCGCTAGGGCTGTTGTCCGTAGCTGAGGGCAGGCAGAACCTTTGGTGCCTATGGCGCAGGCGTGCGAAGGTACACTGTAGCAGGGCGAGCTGTGCGAGCACCTCGAAGCATGCAATGTATTTTTGGGCGTCTTTGAGCAGCCATGGCCAGGTCTGGCGGACCTCTTGCATGGACCAAGTGCAGGCGAACCAGAGAAAGGTAGTGGAGGTGCTAAGCCAGCCTCCGATGCCCACAGTGTCCCCCTGGGCCATGGCATCTGCTGCGCACATGCAGTGCAGGAGGGGCGCGAGCTGCAGCGGTTGCTGCGGCGCGAACTGCATGCAGGACAGAAGCCATCTGAGCGCGGCCTGGCTGTCCTTGCCCAGATGACATTCGTTGCGTGCTGGGTCTTGCACGCGGACGTATGTAGGCTTATGCGTAGCAGGCGCGTTGGGTATGTCTGCTTTGGTGGCGACATGGCGGGCCCCCACGGCAACAATGCGGGCGCCGCGCGCGAGCCAGAGGCCGGGCGGGCAGCGGACGATCTTGCAGGAGTCGTCAAGAGCATGCAAGAATTGTTGCCAGAGGCGGGCAGGCACGGACTCAAGGGTGCCCTTTCCGCTGTGCAAGTCGCGGTAGAGCGTGCTGAGCATGGGGCGTAGAAAAGTGCAGAGAGAAGTGGCCCACATGAGCAGGCCGAGGCAGGACTCAAGCGGCTTGCGGGCGCATTTGGGGTGCTGCAGAAGGGCCTGCATTTGCGTGCGGAGCTTTTCTAGCTTGGCAGACTTGCTGCGCGTGCAGGTCGAAGGTCCACCCGCACCAGGTGACTGTGTCGCCCAGCTGTGCTTTCTTCCAGCTCATGGGGGCGTTGATGCTGGCAAGCAGGAGGATGATGAGGCAGGCGTCTTCATGCAGGCTCGCTCGAAGTAGCATGGCGAGCAAGTCATCCACATATATCCAGGCACGGTGCGGGGAGGGAGTATAAGCAGTGCGTGCAAGATGCGGGTTATGAGGCCCGCGGCGCGTTGCCACCAGTAAGAGCTGAAGCGGGCGCCAAAGTGGCAGACGGTGTAGTAGTAGAGTCGCTGGGCCACGCGGAAAAGCAGTGTGCCTTGTTCGCGGGCGTGCACGCGCATGCGCTTGTGCGCTGCTTTGAAGTCTAGGCAAAGAGCAGCCCAGATGCCGCGCGGGTCTTGCGGAGCGAAGGTGAGCTGGACATCGCTGGCTGCAGGCATGGCCATGCGCTCCGGGAGCGTGCATCTGTTGTTGAGATTGCATATGGAGCTATCGAGGACTAAGCGGGCATCGCGGTCGTCTGCGAGCACGATGTTGAGCTTGCCTATTGCGGTGCCTGCTGGCCAGTGCAGGCGGGCCGCGGCCTCGTCGCCGTCGAAAGGCTGGACGAAGCCGCCTTCTATTTCTTTGGCGAGCAGGCTTTGCAGCAGTTCTGGATTGTCTTCCGCACGCTTCCAGTTGCCTTCGCAATGCAGCAGGGCAGGCGGGGCGAGGTCATCGTCGGGCAAGTCGGTGTTAGGCAGCCATTGCTTGCTGGCTGGCAGGGGCTCGAAGGCACCCGTTGGCACGCCGGCAAGCATGAGTTGCACGATGTCGGTGTCAGGGTCTGCTGTTGCAGAGGCGAGCGGTTGCAGGAGGTGCAGGCGGAAAGGCTGGCCCGGATCAACGGCCAGGCAGGCGGCTTCGTTGCAGTTGGGGTGCAGGACTTGGTGAGCGATGCGGGCTGCGGGCATGCACTGGTCTTCGGAGAGCGGGTGCTCGGGCTTGCCTTGCATGAGGTGCGCGGCCACTTTGTTGGGCAGGTCCTGGCTGCATGCCCAGGACAGCCAGGCCTTGCGCAAGGCTTGCAGGGGCGGGGTTTGCCAGCGCGGGGTGGAGTGATCGGCCGTGCTGCGCAGGCCTGCGCCGTCACAAACCCCCCAGCAGGCATGCTGGCGCGGGCGCAGCGCGGGCGCTGCAGTGCAGAGTGGAAGTTTGGCTGTGCTCTGTGTGAGCAGCGGCGCTATGCTGGCGGCGAGGGCGGCGAGCAGCGTGGCGGGGTAGGCGCTGGGCGGGGCTGAAGGCTGTGCGTCGTGTTTGCGTTTGAGCATGTCGACACGGTGCGTGCCGGGCGGGTGCGGACAGGCAGCAGCAAGGTGCGTGCAGGCAGTGCAGTTAGAAGCGAGCAGCCAAGAGCCATGACGGTCTAAGCCATGCGCGCAGAAGGCAATGGCCGCAACATGAGCGCCGGAGGCTTGCAATGCGTGAATAAGTGCGGGATCGAGCCAGACGGTACTGGCGGGATGTGCTTGCAGGAAAAGGTTGCCGCCGGCAGCATTGGTAGCACGCACGAGCGCGAGGCAGTTTCGCAGGCATTGACATGAGGCTTTGAGGCGCTGGCTTGCGGATTCTGACAGCGTGGGCAGGCCTTCAGGATGAGAGGCGCTGCGCAGGGCAGAGGCTGGCGAGGCGCAGTGTGCAGGTGGCATCCAGGCGCTTGCAGGCAGCGTGATCCAGAGTGTGCTGATGTCTCCCGCGGAGCACATTTGCAGCAGGCTGGCGAAGGTGCCGGCCACCGGCGGTGTCGTAAGGCAGCCTTTGCTGGCCAAGGCTTGGGTGAGCGGGCTCTGCTGGCCACCGAAGAGTTCGCAGAAGGCGCGCTGCGCAGGTCGGGCGGTGGCTGCTGCAGGTGCTGGCTTGGAGGTGTTTGCGGGCTTGCTAGTGCCGTCGGGGCGTTGCGGGGCCGGCCCTTGAGGGCGGGTTGCGCCGGCGGGAGAAGGGGCGGCGCAGGCGGGTCGGGGGCCTTAGGGCTAGGGGGCTTAGGGATCTTAGGGGTCAGGGCTTGCGGGGCTCCTGTGGAGCGGGGGGAGAGAGGGGCCGCGCGAGAGCGAGGGCAGGCAACTGTGATGACGCAGCGGGCGCTGCGGTCGCGGAGCTGGCGTTGTGGGAGAAGGCTTGCGCAGGCTGTGAAGGCAGGCTAAGCGCGGGCAAAGCCCGGAAGGCAGTGCAGTCCGGCGCCGGCTCCAGGCCAGGCGCGGGCGTCGGACAGTTTCAGGCAGGGGGTGCGGGTGGCATGGGTGCGGGCGTCTCCTCGGTGTGAGTGTATGCGGGGTGCTTCTTGCCGCAGGCTTGGCCGGAGGGGAGCTTGAAGCCACAGATGTGGTGGTGTTGCCTTGCTTGGTGGCGAGCTGGGCGGCGGGCGTTGCTGGCACGGTGCGCGTCTCGCGCCCGGCCTGCTTGGTGGGCTGGCGCGCCTTTCCGGTGCCCCCCCCCCTTGCTCGGGCGCGCGGGGTCTCGTCCCCCCTTGCCGGGCTGCTGCGGCGCTTTGGGCGGGCGGGCTCTGGGCTGGAGCAGGGCATGCATGTCGCTGCGCACGTTGCTGAGTTCGTGCATGGCATCGTCCAGGGTCCAGCCCTGGGAGTGCAGGCTGGCAATTTCGTGCCAGAGCTTGCGGTCTGCGTGCAGGAGCTCGTGCAGGTTGACGGCGCGGAGGCCCGTTTCGGCGGGCAGGTTCTGGGTGGCGTGTTCGAAGATCTTCTTATCAAAGGTCTTGAGCGTTGCTAGGCGCGCGCCGCCGCAGAGGGCGATGGCATTTCGGAACACGGCTTGCGTGCGCGCAAGCCAGGCAGGGGTAAGGTGCATGCTGGAGATGGGAATCTCCGGCGTTTCATCGAGCAGGGCCGCGCTGACGAGCTGGGCTTCTGTGCGGAGCATGCGGTGCGTGCGGGCTTCGAGGATTTCGTGGTACTGGCGCTGGCTGAGGCGCAGTTGCCAGGGCACCCATTTTATGGCACCGTCGGGCGGGCGGAACCATTGGTGAATGATGCTCAGAAGGCGCAGGCTGGGCATGCTATCCTGGTCCAGGATTTCGCCTGGGTAGTTGGCGGCGAAGGTGTCGCGCATGCTTTGCACGGCCGTGTTGCTGAGGCGCGGCGGGGCATGCTCGGCCCAGGTGTTGAGCGCAGGCTGTGGCGGCGCAGGCGGTGCGGGGTCGCTGGCAGTGGAAGGCGGAGCTGGCGCAGGCTTGTGGCAGGCGATGCGCTGATGGCAGCGCTCGAGCAGGCGGCGCAGGCGCCCGGTGGCAGGCGAGATGACAGGCACGCGGCACGGGTGCCTCCAGGGATTCCCAGACATCCCCTGGGATGGCGTCCAGCAGGTGGGGCAGGGAATCTAGGGCGGGCAGGCTATAACGGCTATAACCAAAATCTGCTATGGTCTTATAACCCAAAGGCCCAGCGCATCAAAGAGCTGGGCAGGCAGGCCTATGAATTTAGCGAGGTCCTGGAAACAGGCGGGGTCGTCAGGATCCGCAGGGAGGGTTGGGTCGGCCATGGCAGGCACAGTCTACAGGTCCTAGAGCAGTAAACGGCTGCGGGCAAGGGCGAGAGTTGAAGGGCAGAGGCAGGCAAGGCTGGCAGAGGCTCTCAGGTCGCGGCAAGATAGCGGTTGCGGGCGTTGATGCAGGCGGCCTTGCCACAGAGGTTTGCGTGGGAGTTGTAGGCAGTGAGGAAGCGCGTGCTGGCCAGGCGGGTGACCGGGTGCCGCAGGCGGCTCTGAGGCATTTGGCGTCCTTGGTGGCTGTCGGGGTCGAGGCAGTGCAGGGCCGCCCAAGGGCCCGTAGTGACGCAAGGGAAAGCCGGCGGGTCGGCGGGGGAGGGGGCAGGCTGGTCGTCTGACTGGGCTGCGGAGGTGGCGGATGCCACGGGAGAGGCGGGCTCGGTGCTGGACGATTCGTGCGTGGCCGCCCACTGCGGCTGCTTCCGTGTCGGCGCTGGCCGCTGGCTGTGGGCGAGGCTGTGCGGGCAGTGCTTGCAGGCGGCAGGCTCACGGGTGGGGTTGCCGGCGCCGAGTGGGCGGTTGCGGGGGTGGGCGGTGCGGCTGGAGATGCGGGTGCAGGCGATGCAGGAAGGAGCTCAAGGCGAGTGATCCAGCGAGCGGCGCAGGCTGGGGTCCGAAAGCTCATTGGGTGGCAGCGCGTGCGTGCAGAGGCTTTTGCAGGTCATGCCTAGCGGGGGCTCGGGCACGGGTGCCTGGCCTCCGCGTGCTTGCGAGCGCTGCGGGCGCCAGCCGCGTAGCAGTGCAGTTTCTTGGACAAAGAGGCTGGCTATGGTGTCGTCTCGGCTGTACAGGCGTGCAGAGTCACGGTGGTGGCCGTGGTGCAGCCAGCAGGCAGGACTCATGAAGTCCGAGCTCGCGGGCTTCATGTGCGAGCAGTGCTTGCGGGCAGGCACCCGCGGGGTCACTGAGCCATGGCAGGGTGGCGGCCCAGCGCAGGACTTGCAAGCTGTGGTGGTAGCTGCTGGGGCAAAGTGCGGGCAGACCTGGCTGATGCATGTCGCCGAGGGGGAACAGAAAGTCCGGGCAAGCGGTGGTGTGCAGGCTAGCGGCTTCGCTGAGCGCGCGCAGCCAGGCGAGCACCCAGGGCGAAGCCGCAAAGGTGCACGGCGAAGGGCTGGCCGTGCGAGCTGGTCTTCGTCTTGTAGCAGGTGCCGTGCAGGCGTGTGGGCGTGAGGCCGAGGGAGCTCCACTCCATGCGTTGAGCGTCCCCCCAGCGCAGGCTGGCGTGAATGCAAAGCAGGGCGGCGCCAAGCCACAGGCGCAGGGCGAGCGGCACCTCAGGGTGCACTATGTGACGCTCCCAGGCGATCACGACGGCCATGGGCAGCGGGTAGGCCTCTCGCCGATCGTGCGCGCGTGCTCGCGAATTGCATAGCTGGCAATGAGTGGGTTTTGCAGAGCGCGGTGCAGGCTGGCAATCGATTAGGGATTCGGGGTTTGGGTTTAGGTGT